TCTACTGACTCTGAAAAACACCAAAAGAAAGATGCCCAGGGTCCCTGCTCATCTGCGTGAACGTGCCTTAGGCATGCTGCAAGGAGGCATAAGGACTGCATATGTGGCCAGGTCAATAAATTGCAGTCCGTACTATAAGACGCCTAAGACAGCGCTACTGGGAGACAGGACTGACAGCTGATCTTCCTCGCAGTGGCAGACCACATGTAACAACACTTGCACAGGATCGGTACATCCGAACATCACACCTGCGGGACAGGTACAGGATGGCAACTACAACTGCCCGAGTTACACAAGGAATGCACAATCCCTCCATCAGTGCTCAGACTGTCCACAATAGGCTAAGAGAGGCTGGACTGGGGGCTTGTAGGCCTGTTGTATAGCAGGTCCTCACCGGCAACAAGGTCCCCTATGGGCACAAACCCACTGTCGCTGGACCAGACAGGACTGGCAAAAAGTGCTCTACACTGATGAGTCGCGGTTTTGTCTCACCAGGGGTGATGGTCGGATTCGCGTTTATCGTTGAAGGAATGAGCGTTACACCAAGGCCTGTACTCTGGAGTCGGGATCGATTTGGAGGTGAAAATAAACGCAGTTGACAGTGAGAGGACATTTCCTTTTTTGCTGAGTTTATATGTTGCGGTCAATTAAGGGTGGATAGGAATTTGTTGTGTGGAAAGTTATTGAGTGAGACAAGGGGAAGTGCAGAACGTTTATATTCTGTTCCTAAGGAGAGAGGCAAAGGGAAACAGTCTAGTTTCAGTTCTTGATAAGGCATGCCAGCTGCAGAACTAAGGAGGAGCGAGTAATTCGGTTCGAGGTCAAGTCAACAGTTGAAGTGAGAAGAAACCTCTGGGAGGGGGGCCAGAGGGGCCCACCACAACGACTCTCCTACTACAGTCCAATCTCACACACATACATTTCCACGCCCACGAAGATTCTAGCACCAGGCAGGGCCATGACTACACCAGTGAGAGGAACCAATTAAGTTCCTGCCTAGCAACAAAGATGTATTGGCTGTCTAGTAGGAGGTTATAAATATATGTGCTTGTGCATTCATGCTTTGTCTTTGCAACTGTATGACCCATTGGGTGAATAAACTTGATTTGAGCTTTTCCCAGTCATTCGTTTCAGTTTTTAATCTGTTTGTTCAGAACCTAACAATACACATATTTAGCTGATGTTATTGCGGGTGTAGCGAAATGCTTGTGTTCCTAACTCCAACAGTGCAGTAATATCTAACAATACAAAACAATACACACAAATCTAAAAAGTACAAAAATGGAATTAAGAAATATTGAAATATTAGGATGAACATTGGCAGAGTCTGGAGTATCAATATATATACATTTACATTTTTACATTTTAGTCATTTAGCAGACGCTCTTATCCAGAGCGACTTACAGGAGCAATTAGGGTTAAGTGCCTTGCTCAAGGGCACATTAACGTCATTTAGCAGACGCTCTTAGCCAGAGCGACTCACAAATTGGTGCGTTCACCCTATAGCCAGTGGGATAACCAATATACACTGAACAAAAATATAAACGCAACATGTGAAGTGTTGGTTCCATGTTTACTGAGCTTAATAAAAAATCCCAGGCATTTTACATACACACAAAAAGCTTATTTTTCTCAAATGTTGTGCATAAATTTGTTTACATCGCTGTTAGTGAACATTTCTCCTTTGCCAAGATAATCCATCCACCTGAGAGGTGTGGCATATCAAGAAGCTGATTAAACAGCATGATCATTACACAGGTTCAACTTGTGCTTGGGACAATAAAAGGCCATGTTAAAATGTGCAGTTTTGTCACACAACAGAATACTACAGATGTCTCAAGTTTTGAGAGATTGTGCAATTGACATGCTGACTGCAGGAATGTCCACCAGAGCTGTTGACAGAGAATTGAATGTTCATTTCTCTACCATAAGCTACCTCCAATGTCGTTTTAGAGAATTTTGCAGTTTGTCCAACCGGCCTCACAACCGCAGACCACGTGTAACGACACCAGCCTAGGACATCCACATCCGAGGGGGGGTGGGGGGGGGGGGGGGGGGCCTGGGCCTGGCTCCCCAGTGGGTGCACCCCTGGCCAGTAATGTGAAATAAATAGATTAGGCCTAATTTATTTATTTAAACTGTATATGTACACTACCAGTGACAAGTTTTAGAACACCTACTCATTCAAGGGTTTTTCTTTATTTTTGCTATTTTCTACATTGTAGAATAATAATGAAGAAATCAAAACTATGAAATAACACATATGGAATCATGTAGTAACCAAAAAAGTTTTAAACAAATCAAAATATATTTTATATTTGAGATTCTTCAAATAGCCACCCTTTGCCTTGATGACAGCTTGGCACACTCTTGGCGTTCTCTCAACCAGCTTCACCTGGAATGCTTTTCCAACAGTCTTGAAGAAGTTCCCTCTTATGCTGAGCACTTGTTGGCTGCTTTTCCTTCACTCTGCCGTCCGACTAATCCCAAACCATTTTAATTGGGTTGAGGTCGGGGGATTGTGGAGTTCAGGTCATCTGATGCAGCACTGTATCACTCTCCTTCTTGGTAAAATAGCCCTTACACAGCCTGGAGGTGTGTTGGGTCATTGTCCTATTGAAAAACAAATGATAGTCCCACTAAGCCCAAACCAGATGGGATAGCGTATCACTGCAGAATGCTGTGGTAGCCATGCTGATTAAGTGTGCCTTGAATTCTAAATAAATCACAGACAGTGTCACCAGCAAAGCACCCCCACATCAAAGCACCCCCACATCATACACATGCGGAGATCATCCGTTCACCCACACCGCATCTCACAAAGCCACAGTGGTCGGAACCAAAAATGTGGACTCCAGTTTGGACTTCAGACTAAAGGATAGATTTCCACCTGTCATTTTGTTAAGTTACAGCCTTTTTCTAAAATGTATTCAATTGTTTTTTCCCCTCATCAATATGCACACAATACTCCATAATGACAAAGCAAAAATAGGTTTTTAGATATTTTTGCAAATGTATATATATTAAAAAAAAAACATTTTGCACATTTATAAAAAACGGAAATATCACATTTACTTAAGCATTCAGACCCTTTACTCCGTAGTTTGTTGAAGCACCTTTGGCAGTGATTAAAGCCTCAAGTCTTCTTGGGTATGACACTACAAGCTTGGCACACCTGTATTTGGGGAGTTTCGCTCATTCTTCTCTACAGATCCTCTCACGCTCTGTCAGCTCGGATGGGGAGCATTGCTACACAACTATTTTCAGGTCTCTCCAGAGATTGTCGATAGGGTTCAAGTCCGGGCTCAGGCTGTACCACTCAAAGACATTCAGAGACTTTTCCCCGAAACCACTCCAACATTGACTTGGCTGTGTGCTTAATGTCCTTGTGCTGTTGGAAGGTGAACCGTCGCCCCAGGCTGAGGTCCTGAGCGCTCTGGAGCAGGTTTTCATCAAGGATCTCTCTGTACTCTGCTCCGTACATCTTTCCATTAATCATGATGAGTCTCCCAGTCCCTGCTTCTGAAAAACATCAACACAGCATGCTGCTGCCACCACCTTGCTTCACCGTAGGGATGGTGCCAGGTTTCCTCCAGACTTAACACTTGGCATTCAGGCCAAAGCGTTCAATCTTGTTTCTCATGGTCTTAGAGTCCTTTAGGTGCCTTTTGGCAAACTCGAAGCAGGCTGTCATGTGCCTTTTACTGAGGACTGGCTTCTGTCTGGCCACTCTACCATAAATGCCTGATTGGTGGAGTGCTGCAGAGATGGTTGTCCTTCTGGAAGGTTCTCCCATCTCTACAGAGGAACTATGGAGCTCTGTCAGAGTGACCATTGGGTTCTTGGTCACCTCCCTGACCAAGGCCCTTCTCCCCCGATTGTTCAGTTTGGCCGGGCGGCCAGCTCTTGGAAGAGTCTTGGTGGTTCCAAACTTCTTCCATTTAGGAATGATGGAGGCCACTGTGTTCTGGGGGACCTTCAATGCTGCTGAAATGTTTTTGTACCCTTCCCCAGATCAGTGCCACGACACAATCCTGTCTCAGATCTCTACGGCCAAATCCGTCGACCTCATGGCTTGGTGTTTGCACTGACTTGCACTGTCAACTGTGGGCCCTTATATAGCCAGGTGTGTGCCGTTCCAAATCATGTCCAATCAATTGAATTGACAACAGGTGGACTCCAATCACATCTCAAGGATGATCAATGGAAACAGGATGCACCTGAGCTCAATTTTCAGTCTCATAGCAAAGTGTCTGAATACTTATGTAAATATGGTATTTCTGTCTTTTATTTATTATACATTTGCAAAAAAAATCTAAAAACCTGTTTTTGCTTTGCCATGATGGGGTATTTTGTGTCGATTGATGAGGGGGGGAAAATGTATATTTTTTTAGAATAAGGCTGTAACGTAACAAAATATGGAAAAAGTGAAGGCGTCTGAATACTTTCTTAATGTACTGTAAATGAATTTGTCCAAATACTTTTGGTTCCCTAAGATGGAGGGACTATGTACAAAAAGTACTGTAATTCCTAAATGATTCACCCGATATAGATGTAATTAAGCTTTAATTATCATTTAGAATGGTAAATGAGTGTATATTGCATTGCAGCGTTTTGTTTTATGTCGCTTGTGATATAGTGCAGTCACAGAAATGTATGAGATTGGGAAGGCTTTTTACATGAGGACCTGTGACATAAAGACACTTCCCTTCTTCGTGTCACTGTTGTATCTTTAGAAATGTTATTAACCAATCATTACTGACACTGTGAAATGAAAGTGAATTTGTTTAAACACTTCCTTTCCTGTAGTACATAGCTAACTACAAACACCGTAAGTAGCTAGAGTGTTTAATCAGTTTTAGTGACCATTTGAATAAGATTGTGATATTATTTTTGCACTACACAGTGGAGACCCCCATTGTGAGTCAATGGTTGCAGGCTTTAATTAGTACAGATCTTAATATTAATAATGGTTTAGTTGTGAAAGAGACTTTATCAACATGCATGCTGTGAATGGACTTCTGTTGATATCAGTGGGACTGTCTTATGGTAAGCAAAATCACTTATGTAGTATCACAAAGATACATTTGAATTGTATCTCCATCTTATCACTAAAATCAGTAATGAACAATCTCTCTTTTCAAAGTAAATTTGTTCAATGTTTGCTTGTAAAATGATCAGTTTGTTCACAAAGTGAATAAGTGAAAGTATGAAAGAGGTTCAGTTGAGTAAGTTGTACTTTTCTTAAAAACTGCCCTTTTTCTCTCTTCGCAGGATTGGAGACCTCCTGTGATGCCAGAAAGGATGGAGCTCAGTGTTATGGAGCTCTGGGAGGAACTGTCTATCTCCAGTTGATCATCAACGCCAGTGGACATGAGCTTGAATTCAAGAACAACATCACAGGGACAAACGTTTTCAAATTAGAAAACGGCAAAGTCACAACAAACCCCCCTTTAAAACACAGAGCAGTGTTCTATGTGGAAGATGGGATGTTGATGCTCAGTAACACAGAGAAGGCTGATTATGGGAAATATTACTTAAACATTTACAACTTAGAGGGGACGCTTCTGAACACAACACAATTAGACCTACTCCTGGTTACTGAAGGTATAGAACTTTGAAACACTTTACTTGGATAGTCGCCAATATATGTCAACTATGTTAACTAACTAACTATCCACTAACTCTAACTAACCCTAGCCCCAACCTTAACCATTACCTAACATTCATGACTGTTTTAGAGAGTGAAATAATAGCTGTCTTTACTCATTCCTCGACAGCCCCAGTGTCCCCTCCTCAGCTGTCCTCTGAGTGCCTGTCCCATGGAGAGATGAGGGTGACCTGCTCCTTTGAGGGGGACAGTCCCCAGTACAGCTGGACTCTGGACGGACAGACACTGAATGGAATGGAGGCTTTTCTCAGTGACATGACAGACACCGTCATTCTGAAGAAGGGTGTAGTGGGGACTCTCGCTTGTACAGTGAAAAACCATATCAGCAATGTTACCATCACTCAAGAAATCTCCTTATGTAGGCCTACTGGTAAGTGTCTTAAATGTAGCGCTTTGTTACTAATAATATGTATTTTATATATAACATTATACATTATCTTATATAGCTTGTATCTAATGTCTCCCTTCCTTCCCCCAGGACCATGGGTCAATGTGTTTGTTTATTTCCAACTTGCTGAGGTCTTCTTTCTGCTGACAGTCTGTCTGGGATCATACTGTTTCTACAAGAAGAAAACCTGTCCTCAAGCACAAGGTCAATAAACATGTACCATTGTTCCTATATAGCCCATACCATTGACTCTGCTGAATGTGTAACCGTTGGTCTCTTACTTTCCCTTTACTATGTATCATTCTATCTTGGTCTCTTACTTTCCCTTTACTATGTATCATTCTCTTTCTCGTGCTGCTCTCTCTATATCTCATTCTCTCTCTAGATATATATCTCGCTATATCTCGCTCTTCTTCTCTAGCTCTAGTCGGTCTCTATCTCATCTCTCAGATCTTCGCTCTCTCTCTCTCTCTCTCTCTCTATTCTCTCTCTCTCTCTCCTATCTCTTCTCTCTCTCTCTCTCTCTCTCTGCTCTCTCTCTCTCTCTCTCTCTCTCTCTCTCCCCACAGATGATGATGAATAAGCAAAGAGTGCTTACTCAGGATACACAAAATAAGAGGTTTACTGTTCCAGAGGTTTAGAGGAAGAAGTGGATGTCGTCAGAGATGCTGTGAGGACAAAACCAAGCTGTGAGATGTTGCTGACACAATATTGCTTTCTATTGAAAATGTATCTTATTGTTCTTTTAATGTTTTCAATGTTATTTCAAATGAGTATATACTGCTCTCAGTGACTGTAATAACTTTATAACATTTGTGAGAATAACCTTTTGCAATAAAATACAAAAAACAATGACAATTACAGTACGTTGCCTTTATAATGATGATTGGGAGTTAATTTTAGTGGTGTAACAGGAAGAAGACAAAACTCTGCACTTGACTTTTCCTACTAGCACTGACTTTGCTGATAGCTTCTTTATTGAGGAAAAATGTAATTACTACGACTGTGATATGTAGTTCTCTCACCTAGCTATCTTAAGATGAATGCACTAACTGTGAATGACTAAAATGTAAATGAAAATGTAACAGCACCTAGTAACTCTGGTGACCCCGTAAAAAAGTCCAGCCAGTGGGCCATGATCATCCTGCTTAAACAGTTGTAGCCCTCTGGCTGGGTATCAATAATGGCATGGATAGGCAGAGCTGTGGATTGGATGTGGGCGGCAGGTAGCTTAGTGGTTAAGAGCGTTGTGCCAGTAACCGAAAGGTCGCTGGTTCTAATCCCCGAGCCGACTAGATGAAAAATCTGTCGATGTGCCCTTGAGCAAGGCACTTAACCCTAATTGCTCATGTAAGTCGCTCTGGATAAGAGCGTCTGCTAAATGACTAAAATGTAAATGTGGCATGGCATCATATTGACCTCTGCATGAATACATTTCCCTGAGAAGTGTATTGAGGACTTCTTCCCAAGATAAATATCTGTTACACCTTTTAAATAAGAAGTTTGACTTTACACTTGTGTCATGGCTTATTTTATCACAGGGCACACACATTTTATATTAGCTGAATGTTTACTGAGATTTTTTACACAAACAGGACAACCCATTTGGCTTCCCTATATAAAGACTGGGCCAACTCTTAGTTTCTCATGCATTGCTTGATCAATAGGCAAGTGCAAAGTCAGCAAAAGTCAGAATTGTGATGGATACATATTTTTGTCTCAATCCTCAGGCATGGAGACCTACTGTAATGCTACACTGGAGCTCCATGTTACAGAACTCTGGGAGGAACTATCTTTATCCATCTGAAAACTAGTCCCAGGGAACATAAACTGATGGAGGATAAATTGAGGGAAGATAGATTTTGGGAAGATAAAGAAATTAGACTGAGGCCAGATACATTGAGGGAATTACGTACAACAGAATGAGGGAAGATCAAGAAAATAGATTCAGACAAAATAGATTGAGGGAAGATAAATTCAGGGAAGATAAGAGGGAATCTATAAAAAGTCTAAGATGTAGTGGGGGGGGGGGGGGGGGGGGGACATAAACTGACATATGGAATCGGTCATACCATGGTCATACCATGGATCATTTAGCTATTTGATTTAGAATTTTAGGACCCCTTTAGGTATAACAAATATATACAAAAAATATTTGATAAATAGTACCAAATCCCATACAAACGCATTAAAAATGAATAAAATATTAGGAAATGGCAAAAAATAAAGTCCAAAAATAAATCATAAGGATAACATTTATGAAGCGTCTGTCCTATATATCTAGGAGATATAAGAAAGCTCAGGAAATATTTTTGTTGTTTTGACACATATTTAACCCCCTGTTTTGGGTAGGCACAAAACTACCTCCATACTTCCATTCATTTAATTAAACAGGTACCGGTTACCTTCAGACGAGTCCCGTGACATTTGTGGGGGTCGTAGAGCAAAACGGAGAACACCATCGTTTTCGGTATCGACTTCGGACGTGTTTGTGAGAGTCTCATCTTTCCTTAGAGTGGTCATATTAGTTTTTTAGGCCAAACCGTTCAGACGCTACAGCCGGTTTTCGTGAGAAGACCGATTTTCTGGATGTCTCATGGTCTGACAAACACCGCTGTAGCTCGGCCACCTTCCACCGCAGATGTGGAAGGCCGACATAGGCAGATGTGGTGGATTGAGATGCTGCCCATGCACAAAACAGATATCTCTAACTTAAATTGATGGATTTTGATGGGGATTTTTTTATGTTATCAAAGGTGCGTCAATAGACTAGGGTGGTTTAAAAGACCTCACATGTGATTCAGATATATTGACTAAAATAATTTCCGAAAGACAGCCTGAATCACTTTTTTCTAAATCTTTTGGATCTTTTAGATTAGGATTCTCTATGGTTAATGTTAAGATAACAACTGCAAGTGATTGCCGAATATCGTGTAGAAGTCTTCCACTCAAAATCTGAAATGTCAAGGGCAAGAGAAATACAACTACTCATTCAAGGTACATTGGTAAAATGCAGAAGTAGATTCTACAGAATTTGGTGGTTTAAGAACCTTTTGAAAATTAAAAAAAAACACAGTAATCTCCGTATTTAGTCACCATCAATTTCCTGTCTTTACCCACTGTCTATGAACTTCTTACATATTTAGCTAAAAGCAGTCTATTCTTCTTCCTCCACAGCCCCAGTGTCCTATCCTCAGCTATCCTCTGAGTGTCTGTCCGATGGAGAGATGAGGGTGTCCTGCTCCTCTGAGGGTGATGCTCCCCAGTACAGCTGGACTCTGGACAGACAGATGCTGAGAGACACTGAGGACTGTCCATGTTACAAAAGAAGCACCATCACTCTGAGGAATGGCCTGCCTGGAGATCTCACCTGTACCGTCATAAACTACATATGCAGTGCTACCACCAGCAAGACAATCTCACCTTGTCCAGGTAAGCTATAGTCTGTTGTCAGTACTATCTGCCTTTATGCCTTTATTTGGACACATTATGATAAATTATTTGTAATTATATTGATCATCATCATCATCATCATTGTCATCGTCATGATTATCATCATGATTATCAAAGAAAATTAATCATTTCAGTGTGCCAGTTTTCAACTCAGATGCTGTATAGTTTCTGTTTTAATTGCTTACAGGCCTCAAATACGAGCCATGCACCACACCAAAACCAGACTTGGTTATCACCACTGGAAGACCACATCAAGGCAATCATCTTAGATGAAATCTCTCTCAGTCGCTCAGTCAAGGGTACCAGTGGACTCAGAGGAGGCCAGGCTGTGAAATACAGGAAGCTTAATGTATGTAAATTGGCTTTTCGATATTGTTCTTCATTGTATTTCAAACAACTGTGTACTACTAACGGACACACTCTGTCTTAATTCATCAAATATTAGTTTTTTGTGTGTGTATGTTTTCTGTCCAGAATGGAGTACTGTATTGAAAATAATAGTAGCTTTTTCCCATAAACAAACACATTTCTGACCTGCCACAACATTTTCTGTGGCCCTAATCATTAATTGAAGAGTTTTTCTTTCTTCAAAAATGATATATCCACCAATTTTTCATTAGAAATGATTGCTTATGGGTACCTTCAAGTGCGTGTAAAATATTACTCTTCTCACATTTTTTAAATAGATTTCATAAAATGTGTTTTTTTGCAAAACGCTATATACTGTATCCATTGTTTAGCTGGAATGTAATCTTCGTATCCTATATATTTGACTGTGATATGTGGTTGTCTCACCTAGCTATCTTAAGATTAATGCACTTACTGTAAATTGCATTGGATTACTGTATATCACTCTGGATAACAGCATCTGCTAAATGACCAAAATGTAAATGTTTTACATACAAATCTCATATTACTGTATTTAATATTTGTTTATAATGTTTTCTTTTTTTTGATGTTACAAATGTATAATTTGTACAGCTTTTTATTAAAAATGTATTTATTCAAATCAAATCAAATTTGTTTTTGTTGCATTTGACTGTGTAAAACATAGCAGTACTACTTATTTCTCTGAGAGTGGATATTTAGCATTTTGCAATAAAACATGATTATTTGTCTCTCTGAAATGAAACCATCAAGTGATTTAAACAAATGTCTGTCATTGAAAAACCACATGCATGCCATGATTAGATAATGAAAAAACACACTAATCTCTCTCATAAGTTCTTTAAACAATAAAAGCTCATTTACCAACATTTCTGAAAATGGATATATAGTGTTTTGGAATGAAACGCTTCATAACATTTCATAAACCTTGATTTTCAATGTAAAACATTCACTCCCCACATGGCCTGTGTGGTGTAACAGTGTTTCTCAACCTTTCTTGCACCATGGATGGTCCTTCCTTCTGGGAGGAGTGCCTGTATTAAAACTAGCACTTGACAACTGACTGAGTTTGTGTCAGAGAAACACTGTAACATACACAGCTGTAAAAACGGAATTGTGTTTCTCTAAATAACCTAAAGTGTATTGTTGATCATCCAGTATGAGGTTGATCACCCAGTCTGATACAACGTTTTCACAGTGTAAATCTGGTGTGACAATTTATTTTGTATCACATTTCCTCTTATAGCCGTAATGCAAATCTATTCTCAAGATCTCTTGTTCGCTTAGGTACAGCATATATCATATCTTATGAAATGCCTTATTGTATATTAAAATGTTTACCTATTGGTCTGTGAAAGGAAGAAGTGAGATCATGGGTCAAATCAAATGAAATCAAATTTAATTTGCCACATGCGCCGGATAAAACAGGTGTAGACATTACAGTGAAATGCTTACTTACAAGCCCTTAACCAACAAGGCAGTTTAGGAAAAAAATTAAAATAGCAAATAATTAAAGAGCAGAAGTAAAATAAAATAACAGTAGGGAGGTTATATACATGTGGTACCGTTACAGAGTCAATGTGCGGGGGCATCAGTTAGTTGAGGTAATTGAGGTAATATATACATGTGGGTAGAGTTAAAGTGACTATGCATAAATAATAAACAGAGTAGCAGCAGCGTAAAAGAGGGGGTTGGGGTGGGGGGGCAATGCAAATAGTCCGGGTAGCCATGATTAGCTGTTCAGGAGTCTTATGGCTTGGGGGTAGAAGCTGTTAAGAAGCTTTTTGGACCTAGACTTGGCGCTCCAGTACCGCTTGCCGTGCGGTAGCAGAGAGAACAGTCTATGACTAGGGTGGCTGGAGTCTTTGATCATTTTTAGGGTCTTCCTCTGACACCGCCTGGTATAGAGGTCCTGGATGGCAGGAAGCTTGGCCCCAGTGATGTACTGGGCCGTACGCACTACCCTCTGTAGTGCCTTGCGGTTGGAGGCCGAGCAGTGGCCATACCAGGCGGTGATGCAACCAGTCAGGATGCTCTCGATGGTGCAGCTGTATAACTTTTTGAGGATCTGAAGACCCATGCCAAATCTTTTCAGTCTCCTGAGGGGAAATAGGCTTTGTCGTGCCCTCTTCACAACTGTCTTGGTGTGTTTGGACCATGATAGTTTGTTGGTGATGTGGACACCAAGGAACTTGAAGCTCTCAACCTGTTCCACTACAGCCCCGTCGATGAGTCCTCTTTTTTTTTCCTGTAGTCCACAATCATCTCCTTTGTCTTGATCACGTTGAGGGAGAGGTTGTTATCCTGGCACCACACAGCCAGGTCTCTGACCTCCTCCCAAAAAGCTGTCTCATCATTGTCGGTGACCAGTGGTGAGAGCACGTGGTGCGGAGACAGATTCTCGCCACGCCACCTGGTAGGAGCGACCTGTCAGGTAGGACGCAATCCAAGAGTGAGCAGCGCCGGAGATGCCCAACGTGGAGAGGAGGATCTGATGGTTCACAGTATCAAAGGCAGCAGATAGGTCTAGAAGGATAAGAGCAGAGGAGAGAGAGTTAGCTTTAGCAGTACGGAGAGCCTCCGTGGCACAGAGAAGAGCAGTCTCAGTTGAATGACCAGTCTTGAAACCTGACTGGTTTGGATCAAGAAGGTCATTCTGAGAGAGATAGCAGGAGAGTTGGCTAGAGAAGGCACGCTCAAGAGTTTTGGAGAGAAAAGAAAGAAGGGATACTGGTCTGTAGTTGTTGACATCGGAGGGATCGAGTGTAGGTTTTTTGAGGAGGGGTGCAACTCTCGCTCTCTTGAAGACAGAAGGTACATGGCCAGCGGTAAAGGATGAGTTGATGAGCGAGGTGAGGTAAGGGAGAAGGTCTCCGTAAATGGTCTGGAGAAGAGAGGAGGGGATAGGGTCAAGCGAGCAGGTTGTTGGGCGGCCTGCCGTCACAAGTTGCAAGATTTCATCTGGTGAGAGAGGGGAGAAAGAAGTCAAAGCATAGGGTAGGGCAGTGTGAGCAGGACCAGCGGTGTCATTTGACATACTAAATGAGGATCGGATGTATCAACCTTCTTTTCAAAATGGTTGACGGAGTCATCCACAGAGAGGGAAGAGGGAGGGGGATGAGGAGGAGGATTCAGCAGGGAGGAGAAGGTAACAAAGAGCTTCCTAGGGTTAGAGGCAGATGCTTGAAATATAGAGTGGTAGAAAGTGGCTTTAGCAGCAGAAACAGAGGAAGATAATGTAGAGAGGAGGGAGTGAAAAGATGACAGGGAGTCTAGTTTTCCTCCATTTCCGCTCGGCTGCCCGGAGCCCTGTTCTGTGAGCTCGCAATGAGTCGTCAAGCCACGGAGCAGGAGGGGAGGAACGAGCCGGCCAGGAGGGGAGGAACGAGCCGGCCAGGAGGATAGGGGACATAGAGAGTCAAAAGATGCAGAAAGGGAGGAGAGGAGGGTTGAGGAGGCAGAATCAGGAGATCGGAGGGAGAAAGATTTAGCAGAGGGAAGAGATGATAGGATGGAAGAGGAGAGAGTAGTGGGAGAGAGAGAGCGAAGGTTGCAACGGCACATTACCATCTGAGTAGGGGCAGAGTAGTGTTGGAGGAGAGCGAGAGAGAAAAGGATACAAAGTAGTGGTCGGAGACTAGCAGGGGAGTTGCACTGAGATTAGTAGAAGAACAGCATCTAGTAAAGATGAGGTCAAGCGTATTGCCTGCCTTGTGAGTAGGGGGTGGCGGTGAGAGGGTGAGGTCAAAAGAGGAAAGGAGTGGAAAGAAGGAGGCAGAGAGAAATGAGTCAAAGGCAGACATAGGGAGGTTAAAGTCACCAAGAACTGTGAGGGGTGAGCCATCCTCAGGAAAGGAACTTATCAAAGGCGTCAAGCTCATTGATGAACTCTCCAAGGGAACCTGGAGGGCGATAAATGCTAAGGATGTTAAGCTTGAATGGGCTAGTGACTGTGACAGCATGGAATTCAAATTAGGAGATAGACAGATGGGTCAAGGGGAAAAGAGAGAATGTCCACTTGGGAGAGATGAGGATTTCTGTGCCACCGCCGCGCTGACCAGATGCTCTCGGGGTATGCGAGAACACATGATCAGACGAGGAAAGAGCAGTAGGAGTAGCAGGGTTTTCTGTGGTAATCCATGTTTCCATCAGCGCCAAGAAGTCGAGGTACTGGAGGGTAGCATAGGCTGAGATGAACTCTGCCTTGTTGGCCGCAGAACGGCAGTTCCAGAGGCTGCCGGAGACCTGGAACTCCACGTGGGTCGTGCGCGCAGGGACCACCAGATTAGAGTGGCAGCAGCCACGCGGTGTGAAGCGTTTGTATGGCCTGTGCAGAGAGGAGAGAACAGGGATAGACAGACACATAGTTGACAGGCTACAGAAAAGGCTACAATAATAAAAAGGAAATCGGAATGAAATTAACTAAACATCATGGAAAGCGAGAGAGCATGGCCTCCCTCACTTCCGTTTCACTGAAACACTCAATTATAACTCTCCCAACTTCCACTTTAGAAATTATAATTGTTATAAACTACAG